CTGGAAGTGCCTTGAGATATCCAACTCTTGGTGTGTGTTACAGACATCTGCCATGGCCCAGTTGAAAAGAAAAAAGCAATAAATCCCACACTCAGAGTTGAGCCCGTGGGTTTTCATGCCAAGGAGCACAATGCTCCCGGCAGGCCACGGGGTCTTGCACTAACACGATTAGCCAAGCAGATCCACCATCCGCATCCGTCACCCCCAACTCTTGGTCAACTTCGAAAAGTTCAGCAGCTCAACAGGTGAGGCCATGAAACCCGATCACAACAGACAATGTCATCCCCCCAGCGTCGTGCTGGGAAGAACATGTCACGTGCGTCATATCGGGCAACATGCTTGAAACAGAGCATGCACTGAAACCCCAGCAACACGAATAATCTTTGCCATCTGTTTGAACAACTCAACCCTCCTCAGATCTAAAGGAATGATCCCATGCAAATACAAGGGCCTTGCTGACTGATTATAGCAGCCCAGCCCTTCTTTTTGGGGGCCATTTTCCTCCCAGCATTGCACAGCAGCTCAAGACACATCATGGGGAGCTGCTGCCGTGGCCAAGGGTGCACTGAACTCCATGCACATTCTGAGGGGACCACTGAGAGTCCCCACTTGTTTAAGCACAACACAATGCAAAATCAATAGTTGAGTTTTAATTTTTTTTTTCACATCAAGAAAAGAAAATCTCAATACAAAAATTGTTTGGCAAAACCTTCCCAGAGAACACAACTGTTCTTTAGGAGATGCTTGTTCTGAGCCAGCACAATTCACAGGAAGGCAGTGGAAGAACCAGTCTTTGCTTAGATGTAGTTATTTGCACCCAAAGTCTAGTTGGGAGTATCAGGACTGTTCCCAAACTTCCTGGGGCCAATACACCATGTGACACTCAGTGGAACCCAACCACAGTTCTGTCTGTGCTGCTGGCTCCATGCATCACTGGGAAGGCAATTCAGCAGCAGGTATTAAACCTTAATTAAAGTGGAGATTATAGACAGTGGCTCAAAACGGGGGCAAAATCCTGCCTTGCTCAAGATTTGGTTCATCAGGGCTTTCACCCCAAACTTTTAACCTTATACTTCCCTTGCTCACAGCCTGGCTGATTGCAAGGACCAGCTTGTGCCCCCACATATTCCTTGGGGAAAAAAAAGGAGGCTCATAGGGAAAAAATAAAAAAAAAAAAAGGAAGTTTCTCCCAATTCAGGAATTGCTTTCAAGCAACTTTGCACCCTAAAGTCCAATCAATTTTGGAGTCTAAAAAATGCATGTTTGAAACAGTTTATCACACACTACCAGACCACAGGACCTGAGCCTGCTGATCCAAATCACCCATTCCCAGTAAGGACAATGAATTAAGGCAACCTAGGAGTAGCGGGAAGACAAAGCACCAGCATTTTAAGAATTTTCCATAAGAGAAAAGAAGAAAAAAGGAGGTGTGGTCTCCCTGGTGAACTGCTAGAGGCAGAGCAGCTCACGCTAGTCCTGCTGTCACAGTTACAGCCGTCACAGCCACAGCACAGGGGTTCCTAGCAGAGAGCTACAGACTTGAAATATAAATCTGTGATGTTGAGTAGGGGTGACAACACCCAGCCCAAGGCAGGAGGGACTGGGCATTACAGCCTACTGGGCTGAAAATGATCATAAAAAAAGAAAAAACCCAAAACATGTAACACTAATGACAATATTTTTTTTTTCTTACAATAATTATAGGACAGCAGGCTTTCAAGTCCATAAGACATTTCAAAATGCATCATTGTTGAATCAAATGAAGAAAATCATAAAAGAAACTCAACAACTGATTTTCTAGGCTTGGAAGAAATATTTTGTTCCTCCTACCAAGCTCTACAGTAAACCACAAAGAGTGCAGCGACATCTCTGAGGCTGCTCAGCCAGACACAGGCAGACAGTCTGTGGAACTGAACTCCCTACTGTCACAAAGAGGAAACTTCTCTACTATCCAAAAATTCAAGGCACTTCATAAAATTAGTTTGCAATAGTGGCTGGATCCCATTTCTCCTCTGTCATAATACATTTTTTCACTAGAAGCAGTTAACATGCTGTATTCATTATGGGGTGGCGGGGGGGGGGGAGGTGAGAAAACCCCACAATGTGTATACAGAAGTTATCTCACTATCAAAAAAACCCATTTAATTTGTCCTGTTTCCCCCCAGCTTTTCAGGAATGATACTCAGCATCACTCGATAGTGTTCTGCATTCCAAACAAATGAACAGATTTCATCTCACTTGACAGAAAAAGGAGCAAAGAACAAGTTTGTGTTTCCTCCTTCTAAAGTTATTTTCAATAGATAAAAACTTCAGGCAGAAATAAATAGTTAAACTGGATTAATCACAATCACCTCCAAAAATAAGAATTCATCAAGCTAAACAAGTAAATCTCATGCCCTTCCATCTTGAAAATCTGATAAATATTTTGGATGGCAGGAACTTAAACAAACTTAAACTCCTAACAAATATAAACAGATTTAGCCAATTAGCTAAAATACACTTAAAATGAGACATGGGTCCAAAATTCTATCTTCATCTTTTCAAAGCCAGGCAATTGGATTTGCACTGCACTCTGGGTGCTGAGGACACAGTAACTCCCCCAGTTCCAAAGTTCAGTAGATTTGAGCAAAAGCATCTGAAAAATAAAGATGAGGCTTACCCAGCTCACTGCACGATGCTGACACCACACACCTTTTATAGCATCTTTAATTCAACTGTACTGGAATACTAATAAGAAAATATAAACACATCTCCTTATTGATACTAAGATAATAAATAAAAACTTCATTAGGTCTGGGAGAAATAAACATGTTCTTGAGGAGTGCTGGGAAGCCAAGATTCACTGAAGTCAGCATGAGCTTAGAGTTATTACTCTATAGGACCTGACTTTTAATGACTAAATTTATAGTAACAAACTTCTGCATCTAATTCTAATTAAGTTAGAAATAATGCACAATATATAACAACTTGTCTGCTGGTTTTCATCCTCCCTCAAGCATTTTGCATTATTTAGTCCCCCCTAACTGACCCAGGCGCAGTCCCACGGACAGCCAGACACACTCCCGTCTTCGGGGTGAATCACACACGACTGATTTCAAGACTTCCAGCATCTCTTGCTGCTTGAGAGCATCACCATTCAGACCTCAAGATTTGTCAGATCTCAGCTAAAACAGCCCTTTCACAAAGATACAAATGAAAAACTACAGTGTATTTGCAGGGCCCATGCTGCTTAAAATTCAGCAGCTGATAAGGTGAAGCTTTAGGAAGTTGAACACAATACCTGTTCTCCAAATTTAAAAAAAATGTGTATCCTTTAAATATTGGCTTTCACCCACTACATCTGGGATAACAGATGAACTCAATCATAAGCATTATTTTCTCCTCCTTCCCTTCCACCTCGTACTTGTAAAAGATTAATCAACCATTTTATGGTCTAATTTAGGTGCCTAATTAAAAACAGAGTTCAACACATACAACAGCATTTTGCTGATAAATCCTGACAGGTTTTATGCTCTGTTATATGCAAGTTCTCCTTTAAAACGTGAAATTTTTAAACTCAGTTGAATTTACAAAGGTTTCATTTCGGCTGCTGTGGGACAACACACTACAGCCTCCACCGAGATGACAGAATTTTCTAAAACGAAACAGCTTTCAAAAGTTACTTCCTCCTCATCAGATTTTATCCTGCACTTATTTCACTAACTGCTGAGGAATGGCAACACTAAAAAAGAAGAGACATAAACCTAACCGGACATGCCGGGTGGGAGTTTCAAGACTACAAAGAGGTTACAATTCGTAACTTCACAGCTCCCATCTAGCTTCAAAGTTTCCATTTCGGCTTCTTCAGCATTCCTGTAAACACTCAGTAGAAAGACATATTCAAAATGCTCTCGATAAAGGAACTTCAATCGGAAAAGGGCGAGAAAGGCACCGAAACGAGGGTCGCCCCACGTTCCGTGTCCGATCGCGCTTCTCCTCCTCCGCACCTACTGTCGCCCGCTCCGCCGAGCCCACCCGCACACAGACATCCCGGACCGCGCTGCTCCTCGCAAAATCACTTACATTCTTACAGGATACAAGCCAGAAATTTATAATTTTCTCCCAGAGCAAAGGGTTCATCCTGTTCCCGACGCGTCCGTTACCCGCTACACCCCACACCGCTCCCGCGGTCCAGCGCTGGACTGGCGATCGCGACCTCGGGCAATCGATCAGCTCCAGAGATGATTCCGGGGAAGGAGAAAGTTAACGGAGACTGAACTCAGGCAGCGAGTGAGGAAGTTTTATCCGGAACGTGGAGCTGCCGCCTGCAGTCCCAGGCAGCGCTCCCGGAACGGGTCAAATCCCCTCCAAACGTGCAAAAATATTCCCAAACGGGTAAATCCTCCCCATCTCGCCTCCCCCACACAAAAAAGGGAAAAAAAAGAAAACGGTTCAAGTCCCGCCGCAATGGATTAAAAAAAACAAACCAATACAAACAAACAAAAAATAAAAACAAACAAAAAAAACACCCCAAAAACAAACAAAAAAACCCCAATGGGTCAAAAACCCCGCAGACACGCGGTCGCTGAGCGCACCGTCCGCCAGCCCGTGCAGACCCGGGGGACACACCAGTCATCCCTCAGCAACACTCTGAGCTGGACGAAAAGTACGCTCCCGCAAAAGACCTGGAAGTACAGCGGAATAAGAGTATTAAAAAAATATTAAATTAATATTTAACTTTTATATAAAAATTAAATACGGTTTGGCTCGCGGAAAAGCTCCAGACGCCCCGCCGCCGCCTGGGCTAACGGGGACCGCAAGTTGCGCGCTGGGTTTATTATATTTTTAGGGGTTGTTTTTTCGGGGGAAAGCATTTAGCGGAACATTTACTCTTCGCCCCGGGAGCTCCCCAACGTGCTCCGGAGCGGCCGCATCCCCGCAGCGGAGCGGCGAGCGCAGGATAGCTGGGACCCCGTTCAGCCGCGTTCCGCCGCGGGGCCGCTGCCCGCCCCGGCCCGTACCTGTACCAGGCGAGTCCCCGCTCGTAGTTGCGGTCGAAGAAGTGGGGCTCGGCACCGACGGCGCGCACGTCGGGGTGCACCCGCAGGAACTCCAGCAGCGCCCGCGTCCCCCCCTTCTTGACGCCGATGATGATGGCCTGCGGCAGCCGCTTGGTACCGGAGCCGTTGAAGAAGCTGGAGATGGGGCTGCCGGCGTCGGGCGCTGCCCGTTGCTCCTCCAGGCTGCTCTCCTCGCCCGGCTCTCCCGGCAGCAGCGGCGGGGCGGCGCGGGACGGCGCGGCTGAACCGCGGGTCGTCAGCCCGGCGCAGGAGCCGGCGCACGAGTAGAACATATAGAGCCAGAGGAAGAGCATGATGAAGAGCAGCAGCAGCCTCCGCCTTAGCGGCGGCAACGCAACGGAGACATCGAGGCAGCGGTTCAAGCGCTGCCCCATGTGCCCGCGGGCGCACCGGGATGCATGGCTGGAGCCCGCGCGGCTCGGCTCAGCTCTGCCCGGCGCCTCATGGGCACCCGCGGAGCCTCAGCACAGCCCCATCGCCGCCGGCGCCCGGCGCTGCCGCCCGGCCCGCTCCGCGCCGCTCCCGCCGCCGCAGCGCAGGCAGGGCGGCGGGGCGGGGCGCGGGCCGGGCGGCGCTCTCAGCCAATCACAGCCGCGGGTTCTCGCATAATGAGGAGGGCGGGGCGAGTGGAGCGGAGGCCGCGCTGATTGGCTAGCGGCAGGAGGGGGTCGCACCGTCGGGCGGCGGCGGCGGCGGCGGCGGC